TCCTGGAAGTAGAACAGGAAAATCCCTTCCTCAAAACAACGCTTATCAATAGTGGCAGTTTCTATGAAGACACAAAAGTCGAAAAACCGAATGAGTTTGATTATCTTGTTCAGCTTGATAATTTCTCCGAGCCGAAAGATATTCAGTACGAAGAATTAGCTGGTGCTTCAGTGATTGTGATTCCCAGCCAGTCGAGTTTTGATAAACTAAGAAATCTATCAACTTACAAGAAAGTCCCGGGCAGTATTTCTTGTTTCAAATGGAAAACGCATGTCAAGGCACCGTTTTATGAAATACTTTGTGAAAAGGAGATTGGGTATGAGGGATATGGATTACGTGTTATAGAAGACCTAACCAAGCACGGTCCTGCGTGCAGTTTGAAGCTTCAATGGATTGGCGGAGAACGCTACAATGGGTTAAAAATCGGGGTTGATTTGTGCTTAGCAGTAAAGATTAACTTTTCTTCCTCCACCATGGACTTAGAGCACTGCACAGAGATTCCAGCTGATGTCATGCAGAAGACTATTTCTGAGTCAGTGCCTTATTTCTTTGCTGTTAGTGACTATAAGGTAGCTAATTACCCTTCATCAAATTTGTTGAAAGATCAACTGGGAGATTCGCATCCTAATGAGGATTGTTTTCGTCTTCGTTGTTCCCAGTCGTGTCTTGAACAGGCGCTGTTCCAACATTTTGGCCCTGAAGGAGGACCAACCGTGTGTTTAAGGGTACTCAAGGTGTTGCGTGACATATCCACTATCGTTAGCCTTGCTCCATTCGAAACGCAACTGGATGTTGATATTGGCTTGCCAAGCACCAGATTACAGGATTATTTTGGTATTGATCTTCCATTGGAAAGCAACGGTTATTTTTCTTCATATGCGTTTAAAACTTTAGTGTTACATGAATGGAGTCGATACCCAGAAAAGAAATATTGGTCTAGAAGCTGTATGAGTGACCGTGTTTCTCAAATACTAGATCAGCTTCTTCTTTGCGTAAAGCACGGGGGTATGCGAAGTTTCTTTTATTCAGATTATAATGTTTTACCCGGAGATTACGACGAGATGTCACAGGGGCAAGCTGATGCCATCAACTCAATAACCATCCTGCAGCACTGGATGACATCAAAAAGAAATGACACTGATTACAATTTCAATGATTGCCTCCAAAGTGTTAAAGAAGATTCAAGACTTGCATGTCATAAAATAACGTTTACAAATTTGTCAGAACAGACACTTGCCAAGACTTTAAAGCAAGACCTGGAACTAGTGATACGTAAAGCAGCTGGAATAGAACCCCCAGATCGAAATAAAACAAGGCAAGCAAATGAACCATTTTTTATTAGAAAAAAAAAAATCAAGATCCGCTTTGGTTTCCACTTGCACCGGACCAAAACCTTTTTTGTCACATTTACATTCAAGCCTTAGTTGAAAAAGTTGCCCCAAAAGAGAAGTTAATACTATTAGACCCCTGTCATCGTTGGCTAGACAATGAAGGCTTCATCAGAGCATTACACCTTTTCAAAGAAGTAGCTGTGACAAGAATGAACAGCCTTGAAGATAATTTACCCAATTACAACATCTGGACAAAGGAATTTAAACAGGGTGACAAAGAGATAGCAAATTTTGTGAAGTTCCTTACAGATATCTTTAGAAAAGATCTTCAGATCCTGCTTAGTAAACTTTGAAATAGAACTTGTACACTAATGTGCAGAAGCTCAAAGTAAATAGACATGGACATGATGATTAAGTCAGGAAAATTAAGTCAAGAGAATGAAGTAGAGGCCTTCTTTTAAACAAACCCATACTTCTTAAACAGGAGTAAGAATACAGAAATTCTGAGCCATATGCATCAAATTCAGTTGTCCAGGCCTACTGTGACTTCAAACTGTGAAATACTTGATTTAAACAACCATACAATGTTCAATAGATGATACTTCTCCATCTGAAGGAGTTGTCACACAACCTAATCATTTTGGGTCTGTGATTACTCCTTGTGCTGGAGGTCCTACTAAACTGGTTGAGACACTCCTTAAATCTCTAGCCTTATCAATTTAAAACCCTACATTTTGTTGAGTTTTCAAAAATATGATTAATAAATGCACACCATTGCCATTTTATAGAAAGTTAAGTTTAATTACTCATAAATCTGTAATACATGTGTAAAAAGCCATCTTTACTGGGAGTCACTCAGTTCTGCTAAACACCATCTTTAGATGAATGCTTATTCACTATTTTAAAAGTGAATCATTTTTCATGTCACAAATGACTGGTCTAAAACCAAATGACCAAGAAGTGAATGATACTTCCACATTCACTACATTTCTTTCTCTTGAAAATGATTCCAACAGTCTCCACACAAGTTAAATAATTAACAGATAGTGTAAAATACTTCCAGCCACCTGGGAGGTTTCATTCTGGACCACCTCTCTATATTTGAAGGGGAAAAAAATTGAAAATCAGTCATGATAGCCCATGAAACTAACTCATGCCCATCCTAATGGGTCGATTAACTTGAAGCTTCAAAATCTCCCCTTCAGCACTAAAACTATTGAAGATTAGTTTTTCAAATTCAAGCCCCCTTGGGCAAAACATTTGTTCAAATCCCCCACCACCACCCTCAATGTTTCTGTATAAGGTGAGATTAGTGATCATGACTTTCTTAAAGACCTTTTCTTCTTAGCTATGTGCTCACAAAAGAGAACTTTTTACCTTTGAACACCTCTATATCAAAGGATAAAACAAGTTTATTCCATTGAAAAAGATTTCCAAGTTCAAGTTCAAGTTCAAATTTGCCACCCCATCCAGGCTAGGTTCAAACTCCCAATCCCTAATCCCTCAGATATGCTTGACAATCAATTAACCATGGGTTGATGAAAAGGGGGGGGGGGGGGAAGGGGAGATGGAATTTGGGTATTTGAAGTGATCAGTGCATGGGTGGATAACATGCATCAACTAAAAGTCTCAACCAGACTTGTCCCTTAGTCTATGATCCAGTAATCCCCAACATTTTTCACACACTTATCTTGTTACTGGTCTGATTTCTTTTCAGTCCCTTATTTCCAGGACAAAGGACCTTGCAGTCCATTAAATATCACCTCTGCTGAATGATATTATTATGACCCCTACTTTAATCTACTCTACATGTGCATGCTTGTCAACAAAAACTTCAAAGGCTGTTCTGTCACAGTCGCAAGGGTTGTCAGTAACAGTTTGACATATCAGTATATACCACACAGGTGAATAGTTCTTTTCCTGCCTGTTGACTGGCTAGTTCAGAGGTGAATAGTGAGTACTATTCACCTTCAAGCAGCCAAAAGACAAAATTGTGCCTCCAGAGTTTAATTTCCAACCATCATTCAGTATGTTGAGATAAATAAACTAATTTTTTTATAACTGTGTGGTATAAACTAAAAACTGTTATTCACCTCAGTGTCAGTGAAAGTAGTGGATATTTTCCACTCCGTTTCACAACTTGATAAAAATCCACCACTTTTCACTTCCACTTTGGTGAATACTTGTTAACTATGGCTGTCAGCAAGTTCCAATAAGCCATTTGCAGGGTCTTACAGGGTGTACTTTTCAGAGGGGTTTCTTACTTAGTAAATGCATGTGATTTCCCTATTGTCAGTTTCTTTCTGCATCAGCTCAAGACTGTAAGCATTAATAAGGGACTATAGGTTCATGAGTGGGTTCAAGATGGTTATTTATTTTCACGACAACATTTTAGAAAGACATTGTACACCCTTTAACATTCCTTGTGCTGCAAATTTTCTAACAGCTTTGTTATCTCACAGATATGCGAGTCCTGACATCCTTCCTCCCCCTGAATTTTCTAATTGAATGCTCTGTTTCAGTCTCCACCCACCAATTCAAAATTAAAAATTGTTTCATGGGATGTAGATGATTCCAAAACAATAAAACAGATGATAAATGCAAATACAAAATACAATTAACCTTGAGACAATTAGCCTCAATATTTTGCCCTATAGTAGATTAAAATACTTGATTAGCCCTCTTCTACAGAAAAGTTTATAAAACTTAATTTATTTGGGAGATTTGGTAAACTTTGCACGAGATTTGTAATAGTTGACACAAATGCTTTGTATATGGAATCTCTCAGGGACATAGGGAAGTGAGAAACATGTCTGCATATTCTTACACTATCCTAAAACAAAAGCGTAGTCCTAAAGGCGATCTTTTCTTTTAGCCATTCTTTTAAACGAGAACCATTTTCTTTTGTCGGGAGCTTTGAAAACACAATAGACGCTATTCTTATTCAATGACATGTAAATCACTGTAATTATAATGAACAATGAGGTCATGAAAAGGAGGTCCTGCTGCAGTGTCATTTCGAAAGGTTATTGTTTCTGTGAATAAATGGAAAATAAAGTCATTGTCCTAATGTGCCAATTTTTGTGAAGAAGTCCCCTTGTTCTAGTGTGCCAGGATTTTAAGATCAAACATGTAGATAGTAAAGTGAAACTATCACAATATCGCATCGTAACAATTTCAGCTTGATATGATGGCTCACCTCAATATAATCAATTTCCTCTTGGGTTAGAAGTCTTCTTCTGTATCTTGCCGGTAAACTTTGATAACCGAACGACTCATCGGCGGTCATAGAATTGGAACTTGTCGGTCGAGTCGCTGATTCTGCTGGTGTTGCTTTACTAGTGATCGCAGATAAAACTGACGAAATCTCCGGTGGTCTGTGTGATGAACCGGCTAGTGGTATGCAAAACGGAAAGAGAATCCCTAGGTTTGTTTCTTTTGTTAATAAAAAGAGATATAATTCTCATTTACTTACGTTCCATTTTTTGTTTTGCTCTGTTTGGAAATCTTATACTTGGTATATGTTTTTTCACAGTTTGAAAAATTCTACCGGTAGCGGTCGCCATTTTGGGTCCGAAACCTACGCAGGGTGTTCTGGGATTCGTAGTCTCGAAAGTTATCGAATATATGCCGATTGTAACTCTAGAGTACGGAAAATCGCCGAACATGTCTGAAAAGTTTCCAACATGGCGGACGATAGTGCAAGTTCTGGTGATGCAGCTGGAGAGACGTGGATTCCAGCTTCTAGAAGACCTGATGGCACATGGCGTAAGGCTCGTAGAGTGAAGGAGGGTTATGTCCCACCAGATGAAGTGGCAAAGTACGAAAGTAAAGGAAAACAATGGGCCAATAGTTTTTCGAAATTACCGCCTGGTGTACACGAGGAAGAAAACAAACAGCTCACGAAAAACCAGAAAAAACGTAAGAATAAAAAGAAAGAGGAGAGTGAACATCAAAGATGTGAAGTCGAGGAAGTTACGGAAAAATTGCAAAGTGCTACAGTTTCTAGAACCGCGACTGCAGCGGGCACAGTATACACTAGCAACCCGGACGATCTAAAATTAAAACGTGTCAAGAATCTCAGAAAGAAATTGCGACAGATTGAAGAATTACAAGAAAAAATTGACTCAGGAGAGGTAGTAAATCCAGAAGCTACACAGTTAGAAAAGCTTTCGAGAAGGGAAGAGATTGAAAAGGAACTTGCAGAGTTAGAACAGGAAGCATGAGACACTGAATGTTTTGATAGCACCACAATAAGACTAGCTTCAAAGAAGATTTGCTACTGTTTTATTACTGTTTGAAATCAAATTAAAATGCTTAGAGTTTTATTTTCTGTGCTCACGGATTGATTAATTGTGAAGGTGGTAGTAGGGGGTTAATGGGTTTGGATTAAATTGGCAGAGTTTGATTCTGAACACAGACTTGGGTATCCTGTGTACCCATGATAATTAACAATTCAGTAGAGATGAGCATGCTTGTCTCCATATTTAGTTACATGTTGATAAAACTCCCTGAGTGGATGGAAAGTTTTGGTGGGGAAGGGCAACCATGTTTCTGATGTCTCTATTCCTCCAACTCTCTTGAAACCAGGGTGGGGAAATGAAATGGGATATTTACCTCGACTTTCAACAGAATCCATGAATCCATGTTGTCAAGGCAGAAAGTGATTCTCCCATAGTCATTAAGATTTGAAAGTTGAAGGCTTATGAGAGTCAGATGGTTAACAGTATGCTAGCCTGTTCACATTCATTCCCATCTCAAACACCTTGCCACTTCAGAGCTTGATTTCACAGATTCAACACTCATCACTTTAAGATGCACTTTATAATGCCACTGAAGAGTTTCCCCTCTTAGTATAGAGAATTGGGATAAATGCTGAATAAGCTGGCAAGATTGGAAACTGGTCAGTGACAGAGTCCACCAAGACAGGCTCATATTTCATCCTGCTCTGCAGCTATTGGACAAAAGGGAAAGGGAAAAGAACAAAAGAGTAGTGAGGAATGGCCTTCACCCACCTGTGTGTGTCATGGAGGCTCATTTGACTCCAGCACAGATAAGGGTACCTAAATGCATTTACTTTGGCTGACAAAACATCAATTACCTGGAACTTCCTTACAACAGAGGAAACAATACTTTTATTGAAATCCATCATGAAAATTTTTATCTGTGGTCAGCTACATGTGCAGCATGATGTCTCTCACTACACTAAATATTTAAAAATTATTAATTCTATCATATATATTACATTCGAGTCATTCTCTTTCATATTTCATTTATAACATTTCTTAGAAATAATAGAGTGTTTTTGTGCTCTGACATGAATTACAAGATAATAGTAAAAAATTAAAAAACACAAATGAAAATATGAAACATCTCTTTCATGGTAACACAAAAACAGATTCTAACCAATTTTGTCAAACAATTTGTGAAGAAAAAAATCTGATACTTTACAATCATTTTTAATAACCCTTCAGAGATACTTTTATGACATATCAGTAATAATAGTAATAATAATCATAAAAATTACAATAATCTTCATGCCATGTGATAGTAATTTTAAAGTTAATTAGATTGACCTACATATGCTGTGATTTGGAATAATTTCAAGTTAAAATGAATTCAAAATAGTTTGATTTCCATTGCATTCTCTCAAGGATTCTGATAATGTACTAGGAACATACTAGAGAAATAGATATCAAACTAGTTTGAAACCACTTTGACTTTTTACCTAAAACATACAGTGAAACTTAATAATCACTTTACTATGCAATTCACAAAACTCACAATCTTTCATACATTTCTCTCAAATAAAATGAAAAAACAATTATTTCATAAATCTAAGTATTTAACTTCATTCATAGTGGTATTCAATCATGTTACAACAGTCAAACTTTCCTTTGCGACCACCCATTATAAGCGACCACCTCTTGTTAGAGACCACCTCTTCAAAATACCAAAAGTTTCTGAGTCAAATCACTATAAATAGAACCTCTTGTAATCCACCACCTCTTGTAAGTGACCACTTTTAGAGATGCTTGTTTCCAAAATCTCTCACAAGCAGACACTGAAAACTGTTTCATATGATGTCAAAAAAGTGGTGCTGATAAAGAGCTTTACCACATAAATTCTTGCTCGTGTCACATTTCAGCAAAAATTTTGACAGCACCATTTGGAGTCTGATATATATTACAGTTTTAAATAATTTGAATAATTACTAATCATATCTTATTCTGATATATATTACAGATAGAATAATTACTAATCAGATCTTGGAAGTTAAAAGTTTTAATTGACTTCAATTAATGTTAATCATTTGATTTCAAAATTCCTTATTTCTTGAACATAAGAAACTGTCAGAATGAAATCAAGTGCAGAGCCCTACAATTAATTACTAACCGAAAACATATATTATTGATATTTAACCCTTTAGACTTGAGATCTAATGAGTAATTCTCTTCTTCAGATTTGGGAAGAATATTTTTGTTGCATCATGATCACGCCTTCTAAGGGTGCAAACTTTGTCTATTCTGAGCTCCTCTTTGTAAATTATGTTATATCAAAATTTCATCCTCCTAATGATAGGTTTGTCTATTCTTGTTACCTATTTGCTGATAATGTACTGATAGTGTGTAGAGAATCTCTGTACCAATCATCTCTGGGAATTAAAGGGTTCTTGTCAAACTCAGAAAACCATGAACACCTGAAAGACACCCCAAAATTGTTTATCCTGTTGTGACAAAAGAGCTCCCACAAGTGACTAACTGTGTGGATGATAAGGACATGTGAGCATATATCAACATAACAAACTACTCATCCATATTGTGTTCAGTAAAGATATATCATGCCTGATAATTAATCTGTATTGCCAGCCCTCAAGGTTTTTCTGAGTTTCACCATAGATGTTGCACCCTTGAGCATGATATCATAAGCAAGATGAGACAAAAAGGTATTGTACTGGTTGAATAACTTGGGCCAGTAACAAAGTAATTATTTTAATCAATAAACATATATTGTAAATTCTATTTGCCAGCTTGATTTTCAGCTTGAAATGACTGAAGAGAGAGTGGAGGAGGCAAAGAATCATGGGACAATTGGTGAACTGTTCTGTCAGCACTCTGGTAAGTTAAACCTCCCTTTGCTTCCATTTGTCTGAGAATATAAGTACGAATACACAAATAAACAAACAGCTTTAGGCTTTCATTGCCATCCAATAGAAAAAACTGATTTCAACATGTAACAGATTATGTCTCATTTAGACTTCACATAGGTTTTTGAGAGAGAACATTTAAAGGAAACCTAATGAGCCATTTTACAGTTGTGTGCTTAGTAATTTCAAAAAGAGGGCAATGTGGACATTCAAAGCTTTTTTCAAATAATTATCTCTCCCAGTTACTCACTAACAAGGCAATAATTCAGTGATTTGGAACTATTTTCACAATGCAATAACTGTTAATAATTATGTCCGCCACATACTTCTTTTGCTATTAGAATTAAGTTATGGATCAAACATTAGCCCTTTGACACTTTTTTTTTCTTCTTGTTATATTTCTTCTTGCAAAATAATTAAATAAATATACAAATGCTGTCAAGTGAAATCCTGTCTGGGTCACTCTGAATGACAGGAATGAGGATACCACAATTCTGGTGGACCTTTTCCCAAGGGAACACAACTTTAGGTTACCCCTACTCCCCCTCCCCACCCCCCCCCCCAAACAAATAAATTTAAAATTTTGTTCTGAGACACATTTTTAAAGAGTCAGTTGCCATATTCCTGAGAGCATTATTCACTGATTTGATGTCAACCTTAATATGCAGTCAAACATCTTCAACCAATCAATCACCTTGTAAATTCGTCATGATTATCAAAGCCATCTACATCAGGATTTGGCAAATTTGGTTTCTGTGTCAACTTTTCTGTATCATCTTCACCATCACTGTCTCCTGTGGGTACAACACTGGTTGAGCGCCTTTGCTCCTTTGGTGAGGATCTAAAAAAATTATTAAATCAAAGTATCATTTGGTCACTGGTTTATTCACTGTACAGGGTTGAATGAACAATTTTAACTCAGAGAAGCTTGTGCCCCTATAATATCCAACATCAAAAGGTGGCATTGAGGTTCCAAGACTTATTTTATAGGTCCTAAGTCAAAATTTGATGTTTTCATGTATTATTCAACACAGCTTGCCCCAGATTGTAGTCCACATTGGCTCAGGGAAATGCACTAAATGACCCACCTTTCCAAAAGTCCTTGAATCCCAGACCTTGCTGCACACAAGGAGGCACTCAATGATGCAAACAATCCTGATTTTCTATGAAAATACATTAAACAAAAATTAAATAACAGCATTACAATGCCAGAGTCTATTTCCAATTCTTCCTTTTTTTAAGAAATAAGTTCAGTTACTAGTCACTAACAGTTTCACATATATTTTTTGAGAATTATCAGTTTAAATTTTCTATCTGCAAATAACTTTAAAATGCAATGTGAGTAATTTATCTAACCGTTCTGTTTTATCCTTAGCTTTGTTTTCTTTGTTTAGCAGTTGATTTTCGTTAGGTGTTTCATCCTGATCAGACTCGACACTTTCCATCCTATGAGAAAGAAGCTTCCTTTCTTCTGCTTTTGTCTGGCAAAGGGAAAAAAGAATAGTAACTGCAGCAGCTTTTTTTAGACACCACAGTATGCAAAAGGAAAAATGAGCACAGAACGGCATTGAAGGAATGGATTAGGTGGATGGGGGATACCTGTACTGATTTAGGTGGAATCAAAGATGCTTACGACTCAGGAAAAGAAGAATTAAAGCTGGAATTTGCCTGTCAGGATCTGTATCAGCCACAATTCGTCAAGCTTTTAAACCATCTGATTTTGATCATAAAACCCTTATATTACAGTACAGTGTAAAAAGCTTAGTAGTCTTCTGACAACCTGATGGCCAGACAGGAAGGTTCCAGGTTTGACTTATCATGGGAAATCCAGACTATTTTATTTCTCCCATGCTTGTAAAAAATAAACAATATCTCTCTTTATTCAATTAGTTATGGTTTTATCATCCTAACATAGATTAGAATAAATGATTTGGAACACCCTAACAGATAACATATGGGGCCATGGTAGATTTGGAAAAAATAGCTGACCAACATTGTCCAGTATATCTGTTGTAGCTCAATTTTATCCTTGGTTCAAATTGTTTTTGGGTGTTGTAATGTATGATAATGAATTTGAAACAAAGGAAAATAAATTTCGAACCAAGGATAAAATTGAACCACAACATACGCATGAATCTATAAAACTGTTGCTTCTAGTCAATCACTTATCCATGAAAGTACACACAATGTGGGGTTCTTCAAAATAAACACGAAGGCATTGAATATTACTAAAAACAAGAATCGTAACATCAGACTTCACAAATACTGCAACAAAGATCTACATTAAATTATCAAAGCCACCAACAAGTAAATTACATCATTCTACAGATCAAAATTATCAACAGCAAATAATTCCTTTTTCCCATTTGGTTTGAGTTCCACAAAGGTCATTGAGTGAAAACTACTAGACATTATATATCTTTTTTTATTGCTCAAATGAACAAAGACATCAACATCTTTTAAGATTGCACAAATGAATAAAGCAGGTAACTTTCTGCTTTGTATTTTTCCCTTTAATCGAGGCAGAATTAGAATCTTTTGGTAATTCAATTTTTCAATATATATTTCATTTCACTATCATGTTTTGTTTTCCATTATTTTCATATTAAAATTTTTACCAGTTTCAAAAAAAATTTTTAACTCATGTAATTTAAACCACTGAAAAGTAAAAACTGACTTGCACCCAAAACATCTCTGAGAGTTTCTTTAATTTCTAGCTATCTACAGTAAGTAGTGAGAAGAAGAAAAAATGTATTAGCCCACAATAAGGATGAATTAAAATGTTTGAAGAATTCTACTTCATTGATTCAAAATATATCTGAGATATAGAGTCAGATGCTTAACAATCACTATACTGTTTACTATCAAAATAATGTGAAAACTAATTTTAAACAGATTGATCTTGGTAATTCAAAACGGTATGTCTTACAAAAAGAAATTTGATACATGAAGGGAAGAAAACACTAAGGGTTAACGAGTGCTTATCGATAAAAAGGAAACAAAAGGAGAAAAACACAAAGAAAAACACAAAATGGTAGATTCTTAAATTTAACCCACCAGTCGTGATGACATTGTTTCTTATCAGAAAATGAAGGATCCAATAGTAACTGAAATCTTCTCTCAGTGATGAGACTATTTTTCAATGGCATATGACAATAATATTCATTATATTGATTCCCAATGGCCCTCACTAGGGAAATATTTTTAACCTTGAGCTCTTTAATGACCGAATCAGCTTTAGTGAAAAAAAAAACTCTACATTAGACACATTGTCCACCTGGTCAAAACAAAATATGATTCATATTCAAGCTGATGCATAAATAATTGTTCAGGAGGATAAATATTTTTCTGACAACTTGACAGACACACTCTATGTAATATGGAGATTTTCATTTGGTAAAAAAGAAATAAAGTTGGCAAATCATGCAATATTTGTTTAAAAGTCACTATGTTTTTGACAAGAAAACAACAAACCAATCAAAATACAGCAAACTTTACACTTCCATTTGATTAAATGTCAATAATGGCTTACAAGAATTTCCATAACACAGTAGTGACATCTGAATTTACATAATAATGTTTGCTTTAATATTGTACAATCTCTGGGCTGTAATTTTCCTTACATATTGAGTTCATCTTAAAATATTTTTTCTCACATTTTTTGCCAAATGTGAGAAAAAAAAAAATCAAATGTGGGGCCAGTGCGAAATACTTTAACACCCAATTCATTACCTGCAACCATAGGACCAATTTTGTTGATCTTACTGATTCTAAAAAAAAATCACTGTGACAAATAATGTCAGTAATAATTTCATGAATAATTTGGGACAAAACCCACATATTAAAACCACAAATGATTAAAATTGTAGAAGACGACATTCATTCAACAATATTCGGCTTAAAAGCGTGTGTATGTCCTAACATTCCTACAATTCAAAGGAACAATTACAATAATTCATCTATTTTTGGTGTCCTAAATACTAATCTCCAAACTCACATCCTTGCCTTAAAAAGTTTCCTAGATTGTGTTCTCTTATGCACTTCCATTTTCCAGTTTCAAAGTGACTTTAATATTTTTAGTGATTCCATTAATATTCAAAATTTAAAGTAAACATCATCAAAAATTCATTCAAAAATTTATCAAAAATTCATCAAAAAGTTAATCATGTCAAGAAAAATTGACAAAAAACAAATGCATACACCTCCAATAAATGACGAGTTGAAAATAAATATCTATATGTAATCTTTGTAAAGTAACTCTGTATCAGCTTGAGAAAAACAAAATCAAAATATTTACCAGTTTTAATTATAATTATAATAGAAAGTCTTACTTGGAAGAAAACATTGATGCAAAATGGTCATAAATTTGGAATCGTCCATGAAATTGAACATAGCTATGAATGGCAATGTGAACGCATGTTGAAAAAGAAAAATGGTATCACAGTGACTCACTAAAATCTCACATCAGTGGAAAAAGTAGACCCTTGTATTCAAAGGCTCAAAGCCAAAAAAAAACCCACAAAGAAAAGGTACATTTTATCGTTTTGCAATTGGTAATGACAACCTTCTTTTGGTTGGTTGCTTTCTTCAATATAATAATCAAACTTAAATTTTTCTTTGTGCTTTATTTCAGCATTCAACAGAGGCACAAAATCTCTGTGCTGCTGCCTTCAAGGTCAAGCAAAATAAGTTGTAAATAATCTTCAAACATATCTGGTTCATTACAAGAACCACACAGAAGCAAGCCATTCAATCACCAAAACATAAATGTATGTAAGTCTTATCATATGTCTTACAAATTGGAAAAGCCACATGTTTCATTGTGAATTTATGATTCATACTACAAACAGTGTAAACATATTGATAATGATGGAGAACACTTACAGTAAAAATTGTGGGTATTTTATCTTTGTTGGCCACAACTGAAGATATTATTGATCAAAATACAGTTAAAAACTAGAGTCTGTGAAACATGTTTTCAGTGGTCTGAAGGTACATGTAATAATATCAATTACTGGCATGTGGGAACCAAACGTAAATATTTTGCAATAAATGGCAATGTGAACAGGATAAAAAGAACTGTTCCATCTGATTAGGAATGCATGAGCTATAATTAATTTCTTAAACATTCCTTTGATGCCAAATGTAACCAAAAACAGTGCAAACTTGCAATGCAACTGAAGAACAAAGCTTTTTTGAGACTCTTCCCAGGAATAGATCATCACAAAGTCCTCATGCAGTCAACATTGGTTTCAAAATTTTCAATTAACCCTATACACCCCAACATAAGTATCCATTTTCTCCATACTGTTCCTTACACATTTCCTTTAGTGCTGATAAGGAGAATTCAGTTCTCAGTAAAAGCTTCTTAGGTTGGTGATCATTTACTTTATTCACATGATCTCAATGAATGACTCAGTAGTATTACTGTGTGGAGAAACTAGATGCTAGTCACTCTTAGGGTTTGAAGGGTTAAAGCTTGGAACAACCATATTTACATGTAATTGGCCCATCAATTCAAAGCTTTCATTCTGTAAGGAACAGGGCAAGATGATGACACACAATATTATGTAGGAACTATAGGAACATAAACATGATCACAGCACTTAGAAGAGTGATCAAGCATTTAAGAACATGATTTAGCAAGATAGGAAATTCTAAAATCAGTTGCATGTTCATCAGAAAAATTTTCTTACTGGATGTGGCAAAGATCTTGGAGAGGATTGTAGACACCTAAGGCTACAGGATATGGCAAGATTTCTCAAGAAGTCATGACACCACATACATGTATCAATTTGAGGTTTGAAGCATTAGTAAGCAATATCAATCATAATTTTATGATTAAAAATTATAATAATTATTATAATAATAAGAAGTGTTAAGTCACTGTAATGGTTCCAAGTATCAAAAGTACCATACCTGGGTTGTAAAAACATTTCAACACTAATGCAGCAGTAAACCATACCATTAGGCATATTGTGGAAATCAGAGAGTTGGAGGTAGTGATAAATTGCAAAGCAAAATTCAGCGTACCAAGGGTAAGTTTCTTGGGAAAATGTGGTGTTGCACATGCATCAGTAGGAGGTATAAAAAGATCATTTAGTTTAATCAATTGAGTTGATGATGTAAATCTGCCGCAGTAAAGAGTTTCTAAAGCTGACAGTTCGAGTGTTAGCCCTAAGTCAGTGCAAATAAAGGATCTGTGGGTTGCATATGGTCTATATACATGTACAGAAAGATTATGCCATGCTCAGCTGGTGGAATATGGAAATGTTAAAAGCACAAGAAGAAATCAGTTGAATAAAATAGTTGAATAAAGTCCATGTTACTAGAGACAGTGTATTCAAGTTTGGTTTATAGCTTTGGTAAGTCTAATTCAATCAATAAACCTCTCTCGTAATTTCTATTGTGAGTTGAAATGTTTGTTTTGATTATAATCCCAATACTTGTTTCACCCTTTGACCCCTGACTAGCATCCAATTTCTCCTTACAATATCACCACTGAATCACACATTTATGTCAGGAAAATAAAAGAAATGATTACCAACTTAAGAAGCTTTTGATTGCTGAGAGAATTCTCCTTGTCAGCACCTTAGGAAATGTATCAACAACAGTAGGGAGAATACGCACACTGATGTGAGGGTGTAAAATGTTAAGAAATAAATTATATACTTCTTGTCTTGGTGACATTAAAAGCAGATTGCCATGTGGGTGTTTAAATAGAAGATTCTGAACAGCCAGCTCTAAGAGAGATCAATACTGGGTAAAAGCTAAAGGTCTTACACTTATTATAAGTGATAACTGATTTGACTTCAACAGGAAATTTTGGTATTTTTGCAAATTAGTCACTAACGAGGGGTGTTTGCAGATACAACTTTGCATAATAAAACCGGTGAGTTTTGTACCTTAATCTCACTTGAGAACACAAGTCCATTTGAAGAAACATAAAATCCATTTCGGAGCTTTCCTGAACCACCATAAATAGGATGCTTATCATTCAGATCTTGTGAGACATCCAATGCAAAACCTTTCCCAAACCTTGATTCTACCTCTGTTCCCAGGCTAAATAGATGTAAAAAGTTCCTCCGCCAAGTCACCTCAGTAGCTTGAATAGTTGTCTTTCGAAAGAAGCTGTTTTGCAAGCTTTCCCATAAACAAACACATTCCCTCTTTGCTAGACTTCCACAAGCACATTCAGATATAGTAGGATTGTTTCCCAAAGAAAGAGGTTTATCATTACAAACAAGTTTTGCCAAGCAAGGGACATTAACAAGTGCTTCAAGGTCCTTGCACTCTCTTTCATCTTTAAGTTCTGTATCAGGGAAAGTATTATCAATCACAGATTTAACTAGGTTGATATCAATTCTTGTAGTTTTTCTGTTAAGCTGATCATATTGCTTGAATGGAGACCACTGAAGGTTTGGCTGAAGAAACAAAATTTTGGTTAAAATAGTACACAGAACAATCTTAACATACTGTACTTAAAACTCATTGACTGATAGGACATGCACTAGTTAAAAGTGTTAGGTAATACAGAGTCACAAATCTCTAATTAGTGTGCTGATCATAATGATTTCTCCTTGACTTTCAAGGATCGGTTGTGCAACAACTTACAATCTATGTTGCAGCTTTCCTTATTTCCACTTTTAAACTAGAGAAACAAAAACACTTAACATTGGATAGTTATTTCAACTTACACATCCAAGATTTTAGCCTCTAGAAAAGCTATACCAATTGTACCAAATGAAAACTATCAAAAAACTAAGGTAGCTCTGAACTACTAGTAAATACAGAATTTTGTAACTTTTGAAGGAGGATCAATCTTGGTACACTGGATGCAATTCAGCAATAAAAAGGGGGTATTGATTAACTAAATTTTTAGGTACAGGATCATAAAGCTTAAATTAAGGGTGTTTTGAAGAAGATGTACTGTTGTTATGGTAACCCTGTAAGTCAAAGAAATAAGAAAAAATGATTAGGCATTTTTTGGACACAATTTCTGAGGATACAAATGAAAAAGTGTTAAAGCTGCAATGCATCAAGGAATTGGTGTTTAGAACTGACAAAACCATTTAGAGCCACTTTCATATATAGATTTAGCCAAGGCTAAAAGCGGAGCTCGCATTTTTTTTTCCAGCACATCTCAAGGGCACAACGCCTTGCCCCGGCCAGGACTAGAACCTGGGTCATCCGACTCGGAGCCTAGTGCACTGACCACTGGACTACTGGACAAAGCCGTGGAGTTGGCGTGCCCGCAGTGCAGTTGACCACACATGTTAAAAATAGCACCTTGTACAGTCATACGGTCATACGGTCGTACAGTTGTACATCCAAATTTTTTTGGCTTGAAGGGTTACTACTATTTTGTATAATTATGGGGTTACGCTCTGCAAGCTCCACTATTATTTTAAGTGGTATGAAGCCTCAAGTAATCTTGAATCAGAGTTGGATAGGATATTTACAGCCTGAGGGGAAGTGGTTATTTCAATGTTGTTTATCAAATCCTGTAAAACTAATCTGAGCAAGCATGGCCCTGGATAACTGAATATCACTGAAATTTTTGTTTACATCCCAAACCGTTTAAACATAATTACCTTCTTAATTTGACACCTTGGGATGACATTGTAATGAGAAAGTGAAAATTTCAGGCAAAATTTCGTTGTTGTGAAAAAGAAGCCGGGTGAAGTTGTCTTCCGATGAAGTTTGGAGCAATCCTCTTTGCTACCTCCTCCTGACATGGGATTTCCATACTAAATTGCAGCTCTCTGTTGTTTACAGGCTACTTTATTGTGGTTCGTAGATTGTCTTTCGAATGTGCTTTTCATATTAAACCCACCAGCTGTGAGAACTTGTGAGGTATTTATCATAATACGACATAAAATCATCTAAATCTAGCTCGATAACAATCAAAATAAGTGCAATAACTTTGGAAACAAATTCATTTGTCAAGGCTATTGTCAAAATGTTATGCATAGTTAATCAAAGTACTCACTTCGGATTCACCCTTTTTGTCGTTGCCCTCGAAGCCATTATCTTCATCGATGATGCTCATTTAACTGGCTAACCTCCTCTTTTGAGCTCTTTTACATCGTGTCCAACGATGGAAAATTAAGATCCTTCACAAAAGTCTCACAAGTAATCGGTTTCGAATGGAAATAACTTGACACCTTCACCGGTCACCTCGGTCACCTAATCATACCCCTCTGCGCCTGCAAAGCACACCTCCTCCTTCAGCGGTCACGCACGTTTCGCACAGACTACCGGGTATCGGTACCTAGTCGCCATTTTGGATTACTTGAGTAGCGGTAGTTCTACGAGATGCTCCGTTGTGTTGCCAGCCGCCTTGTGGTTCCCTCCATGAGAGGTGCTGCCTCGATGCTGGGTAAGGTTCCTTCATGACTTTAGAATTTGCGAGGGAAGCTAAGTGACTGGGCAACACTAATCGACGCAGTAATTCCAGAATACTCAACATAGTCCGATTCGTGACTTCTCATTCCTAAATCAAATAGTTTAGTGGTGTTGAATTTTACGATACAGGACTTCAAGCGTCTAAAGATGTACGATGTTTCTGAATAACTGACTTATATTCAAATTAGGGTCATATTTTCAGGAGCGGTAGCAACCTAAGTTTTGAGATTACAGGTTTGCGACGAAGAAGGATATTGGGTTTCCTGCGTGAATTTTTCAAGAAAGTGAATTTTTACTGAAAATGACATGCTGCAATTGATATTAAAACAATTTGCTTAAAACCAGGTGTTACATCACGAAAGATGAGCAGCAAACCCAAAGAATCAGATGAAGCGTTTGACAACCGATGGCACGCTTACTTTTCAAGGCAGGTTTTTTCCTTTAAGTTCACAGTTCAATTTGCATTGTCTTACTTGTACATGAACAATATGTAAACATTCTTTTAAACAACATTTTAAAAGGAGTAGTTTGAAAGTTATTTCTCGATAAATTTTCGTCTTATATTGCCTCAGTTACCAATTTGATTCCAGGAAAATCTTTAAGTAGAAAATTAGTACTTGTTGTGTACAATAAACAGTTAGAAGGCCACTTGGTAAGATTTCCACACAGCCCTATACTTCATTTTATGTATAGTTCTTTGATTAATAAAAGAAAAAGTGAAAGGAATTAGTTGCCTTCAGGACTGCTGATTTGTTTTACAATGACATAGGGTTGTGCTGAAATCATAAAGGTCACGTTTCTCCACCTGCTGAACATGTTTTCTTTTTTTTTTGCCTGAAATGTTCTTTTACATAACCTTATTATAATTACTAAAACTTTTATGGTACATTAAATTGTTGTTATGCATGCATCTCATTGGAGCTGTTTTACATGAAAATTGAAAAAAAGATACAAAAGAAGATTTGTGCAAAATTACTATTAAAGATAAAGGTTAACAATTGTACTTAGTATTCAATCCTTTAAATCCACTTGAAATTTTTGGATCAATATCAGTATCTGGGCAACTGCCTACCTACCCCTCCCCTAACCCAACATTAACCCTCAATTGTTATCAATTGACTGTTGTTGGGTTAGGGGAGGGGTAGGTGGGCAGTTGCCCAGATGCTGATATTGATCCAAATTTTTTTAGTTTGTTTAATATTTAAAACTTCAAAGTTCTTGCTGGGATTAATGATGTGATGTTTTGCTGAGGAATTTGAAATTTGTTTCTTTTTAATTATATTTGTCTATTAGACCAGACCTTGATGCTTGGGAGTTGCGTAAAGGACTGAATGAAATCTATGGACATGACTTGGTTCCAGAACCCAAGATCATTATTGCAATGCTCCATGCCTGCCGTCGACTTAATGACTTTCCCATGACTGTCAGGGTTCTTGAAGCAGTTTACGATAAAGGTGCTGGAAGCAATGAAATCTATAACTACATTCTGGGTGAAATCAAACCCACTATGGAAGAACTAGGACTTTCCACCCCTGAAGAGCTTGGTTTGGCCAAATGATGCCAATTGCAAGGTATACTTAATTGTTTTATATTGTTGGTTTTGTTTTTTTTTGCAGTTTCTAGCACAGTGTTGGGAAGCAGTTTGCCTCCTGCAATTTTTAACATGCATGGTGCAATAAAGGCATTCACAATTTTCTGTTTTTCCAAAGCAAAGGGGTCAGAGGATGGAAGCTCATGTAGATTTTAAAATTGACCCTTAGACTTTCCCTTGATTTGTTAAAATTGGTAACTGTTGTCACTTGGGTTTTTATACATTTTATGTAGATGTAATATGACAAAGATCATGCTAAAAAAGTTGCCTTTCACAACTGCGCATTAAGGAAGAGCTGGAAATAGAGTGGTGAGGGTTAAAGGAATGTCAGAGGATATTCATGGCCAAGTCCTATTTTTTCATGATGTTATAGTTTTAGTTCTTGAAAGCAAAAGGTCAAAGCGGGATATACAACAAAAACTGCTTGTGTAAGCAGTGTTAAAACCCATCTTTGAGCACAGTTAGCTTCCTACCAGTTGTTCCCCATAACAGGGTTAAGGAGGAAAATATTTAAAAGATGGTGGTCATTTGGTTTAAGGGTTTGTGGCTTCTTTCATGAACTTAACTAAGACTTTATTTAAATAATCACCCTTGAATTTAACTTCTAGGTTCTCTGCATGCATTTATGATTCCCAAACGTTGTTAAAACTTTGTTTTAATAATCAGCCCTTATTGTTACACACAATTGCATAATGATTTTTAAAGAAAATTCCAGGTTACTTTGTAGTGCAGTGTGTGTGGTTTTTTTTTTGTTTATGTTACATAATAATTTGCAGCTTGTGTTCACTGCACTTGAAGATAACAAATTTTGTCAATTAGATATGAGAAAATTTGATTGTTCTTACCTTCCTCCAGATACATGTATTTGTAACTGCTACAAATTTCACTCCTTTTATTTCCAATTTGAGCTATGAGTAATCCTTTCATTTCTTGTATATTTCAGATCCTGTGTTTGAAGTGGTGCTAGATGCACATACTGACTTTGATGAGAAGTTTTTGAACTGGATTATCTCGTATTGTGTTATAAAATTTTGACATGACATTAAACTTGGCTATGTAATTTTGAAATTTTTGCATCACTTGGTGACTCAATACTTTTTTTCTTAAATAGGGTTTGATGTAAACTGTGATAAGACCACCTAGGGTGTATGTAGATTAAATGTACAATGGAACAACTTTCTTGTCAAAGTGATTTTGGAAGATGGTTGGTTTAATATTAACAAGCCATGACCCATGATGATAACCATCAAATTCTTTGGCCACAAAGGTTGATAAAGAGTCCCTAGACAAGATGGCCCCAATGACCCGCAGTGATGGACTGATTTTTCACACACCTTGTCACTCCAATCAGTTTTGTGCAATTTGCCTTACCTACCTTGTGATTGGATACAACAAGAGAAGGGGGTGGTCTTTGGACAGTATAAACTCTTGGTAGCTTAAAAATGTTAATTATTATTGAAAAGCTCTCATTACAGGGGACTTTTGCCCCAAGGAGGCTTCTTGAGTTTGTGAAATTCCCATTAACACGGGGACAGGCAAAAACAACAGGTTTTTTCCCAAACCTTGGTACAATTACACCATTTCTTCTTAACCATTAACTCCCATGAGTTATCAAGACAGAATTTTTCCTTGCAATATCAATACAACAAAGAGACAAAAGTGATGAGAATTGAGAAAAATGTCAATTAAGGGAATATTTGTTGATCTGATTACAAATTCTCTGAACTTATTTCATAAGAATTGTATGGTAGACAAAAAGGAGAATTACTAATGAGATCATGGGAGTGAAATGGTAAAATCATTCTTCCAAAACAAGGTGATATTGTGGAGCCCCATTACAGAAACTTAAAATAATGCAGCAGTAGAGGAGAAAAGAACATGAATGTTCAACAATTTCATTCTTTGTAGTTTCCTTGTTTGTAATGGCAAATGATCAGAATGATTGCTCATTCTGTCGTACCATTGAGTGCCTTCGCATTCAGTTTCAAATTCATGTGAGTACATGAATATATGAAGAGGGAGAGAAATATACTAAGGTGTGTAAATTGAGGATATTTACCACTCATCTAACGTTACGTATTCAAGTGTGCAAAGGTGTATCTAAGGAGGGTAGTAGGGAGCATATGACTCCCTATACCCTTTTTCTAATAAAAAAAGAGACCATTTCAGAAGATTAACACATGGCATGCTACTGGTTCGTGTAAGGTGTTAGTGTAGAACCTCCAATCCCATCCCCTCTGAAAATGAAAAATCCCATTCATACCTTCATGAGTATCACTGTATTTATTTTAATAAGAGTGTTTTGATTGATATTAGCATAACACACCCATTTTAGACGAGTCAGTGACAATTGTGAAGTTACAACTACTCAGTTGATAAAGCTGGCATTAGGTTTACAAGATGATTTTTAGGCTGTCTGGCTTAACTCAATACCATAACTGGCTTATTTTGTTAGTCTCTAACATAACCGCCGCTGAAAAAAGGAGACATTTGGAATGTTCTCACAATGGTGGAGCTTTTAAAGGATTCATTGGCTTCGCCTCGGATGAACGGGATCTCTCTTCCACTGGAAAAAAAATAAAAAAAAAATAAGAGCACTTGGCGTTAATCAGAGAAAAACCTTGCACGAGAAGTTCATACTTTCCTGAATTCGTTCAACAAGAGGCAGATCACAAAGCAGTCGGATGGTTTTCCCATTTATTTGAGTTTTGTAACTTAAACGTCGTATAGTGCCCTTTGTGCTTAGTCTGTCACTTTCTGAATTGATGGTGTTAAAAAAACAGTATTAAGACCTAAAGCTACCTGGGATCCAGGTCTCCAAACTTCCATCTTCACTTTCTCCTCCAGCATTTCCATCGCCACTTCCGCTACCAGCCTCAGTTGAGGGAGTCGACGATGTAAGGTCACCAGACTCCTCTTGATCTACCCCAGCTCCCCTGGAGGCTGAAGATGACCTTTCACCCTCCCCACTTCCGCTTCCAGTCTCCTGATCAATTCCCGGCCCGTCTGTTTTGTGAGAAGTTGGCTTGGTAGGTGACACATCGCCCGATCCAGATCCAACTTCTGATTCCGCCTCCCCCGAGCCAGATTCTCCGTCAGGTCCTGATCCCGAACCGGAACCTGCTTCGATTGTTTTCTCATTCTTGACCTTTTTATCTGATGAGGGGATAAAGCAGTTTGCAGCTTTTCACGTCATTACTTATTAAAATGTTCGAAGAAACATCTTCTGATACATTCTAAAGTCGTGTATCAATTATGTATGGACGATAAAACAAAACAAAACAAGAAATGTTGAAATCGCTACGATGCAGGTTCAGTTCGCCAAAAAACGCGTGAATGCGAAGAATCTACTGGTTGCGAACCTGCTGGTACACGAAATTAAAAAGTGGTTTAGGATACTTTATGTAAGGGCGCAGAAATTCGAACCTGCTCCTCCCCTTCTTGAAGAAGCATAATTACGTCCTTACACGCCTCTCGTAAGAAGCTCGCGCTCCTTTCTCCAAGAGCGGCTGGTGATCGAGTCTACTAGTCTGTTCCATGGCGACCACACCCATCGGTAAGATGTGACAGAAAGTGCTCATAAACTTTTCATGTGAGTCAACTATTTTAACTACTCTACAATTAAAGTTTTTGGCACTTGACTACCTTGAACACATTTGTCTCCTTCTTTGTGAGATCCTTGAGTACATATACAGTCATACTTCACTGCGGTACAAACTCCTCCACCCCTACAACCACGAGCGCACTTACTATCTGTGGGGAAACGTATGAGGCCCTTAGTTTAAAAACAAACAAAACATTTAAAACATTTTTCTCAGGTAAGGTCCAACTATATATATAAGTTGAGGAAAATCTTGGAATCTTTTAGTAATGGCTGCAGTAATCAGCATTTTTAATTTGTAAAGCCATGAATTGGTTTGCGAAAGTTAATTTCACAGAGTTTTGCCACGACACACAGATAAATCTTACTTCCTATGGAGGCAAGGGAGTGGACAGCGGAATGTGAAACTTAAATTTATTTCTAGCTCCCAGATAACCAGAGATGTTAGATGACAAAGTTTTCCCTAAACGAAAGAATGCGGCTTTAAATTCGAAGATACAGAATTGGGGACGAAAAAGTTGAAGGTCATGGGTAGATGGAGATGCCCGGTTCCGAGATTGCAGGGGATGGAAAATATCCAGTATGAAGATTTCAGGGAGTTGGAAGTACGTGCGAAATGAGGAGGATTGAATATACTCGAATAAGATACTACGGAATTCCCGAGCGGGTGGGCTCCGTATTGCAAAAGAAAATAAACACTCACTTGTTTCAACGTAAAGGCTGACATCATACGATATTTTCCCCAACTTGTTCTCAGCGGCACATGTGTATTTCCCCTCGTCCTCCATGCGAGGATCAAATATTATAAGAGACCCCTCCCTCGTGATGTGGAACCTCTTTCCCACGAGCACCAGGGAGCCTTCCAAGGTAACTTGGAAGCCTGACTCCTCAGGGCTACCCTTAATCAACAAACCATCTTTGTACCAATTGATTTTAGGTGTTGGTGTTCCCTTCGCTCGGCATTTTAGCACCACTGGTTTTAGCGGCTCCGTGGCGTCAACTGCTGACGGATACACGCTAAACTGGGGACGAACTGTGAACAAGTCAAAGTGCTATTTTTTTAAAGACCGCTGGGGGTCGATAGGGTACCAAAGAAAGAAGACGAGCGAGTGACAAAAGGGGCATGAGAGACTAAGAGGCAGGAAGGGTTCTGACAGTCACGAGCCAGAGATAGCATGAGGGAAAACTTCATTTACTTAATGATGACGGAAAGTAAGAGAGAGTAACAGCAATTGGCAAATAAAAGCATTACAGTTACACTTACAGCATTTTATTGTATTATAATCTTACCTCCATTGGTAACCGTAGCGTAACTGGCTCCTAATCCAGCCTCGTTCTGAGCAACGCAGACGTACTCCCCCAAGTCCTCCTCAGCCAAGCCGTAGACCGTCAGTAGACCGAGGGGGTTAGGGACACGATACTGATCAGCTTCCAGTTTAACACCCCTCAACATCCAGTGATATGTGGCGCCCATATTTGCATGGCAATGAATTTCAACATTTTGTCCGAGAATGGCGAGGATTTGCTTCGGGTACACTGCAACTTTGAAAGTACCTGCAAAATAATTAATGGCACTCAGACTCATGCAACTTACTTTATTTTCAGCTTACTATTTGGTTAATACACGATGACCTGACCAGGTCATATGTTGTTACTTGATTCTCGCCGTGCCTCTCTCCAGTCTCCACCCAGGAGAAAAAAAGAGTACCGGAAAACTGTCAGGAAAAACCTGACGCGGGGAGGGGTGGGGGAAGGGGGTAAGAGAGTAACCTACGGTGGGTTAACAGCATCCTATTTTAGGGAAATGGCAACACCCCTAATCGCATCATGTTTTGGAAACCGGGAGAAGCCCCGGCCAAGTGAGCCACGTGGCTCCATATATATGATGAGTTTGATTTAATTGCTAGCAACTTTAGAAGTTACTATTGTTCACTGAGGTGAAACAGCGACAGTCTTTTTCCGTCGCGATAGGCTAGATTGTTTCACAGAAAGTTCTTCGCAAAATAAACTCGTTCCAAATTTAGAGACTTTTCAATTGAAATACCCGTGTGTTGTATGTATGATAGATAGCCTGTGTTTATTCCTTAGCTATGGGCACTCACCGCATACGAAGTCGCTATCCCTCAGTTTTGTCACCGTGGCCCCCGTCAAGTGGGCAGGAGTGGCACATGTAATGTCATCTAATTTTCTTTCAAGTAACCAGGCCTTCAACCAACGTGCGTTGCAATCACAGTGGAGACCACTCCCTCTCGTCTTAGCCGCACTGGGTTTCAGAGACACGCGGTAAGCCTCTGGGACATCCCACAACCTAATGAGTAAAACAGACATTGGCTATCCTCGATGATACATGGGTGGAAAAACTCTAACCAGTGTGGGATCAACAAGAAGGTGGGAATTGGAGATGAGTTCCGTAAGAACAAGGAAATATTGTACATGATCGGTTCTTTTGTTTAAACAATCACGTAAGAAGCGCAAATACCTGGGGCTCTTTAAGCGTTTCATTGAATAAGACTCCCTCTTAAACTCCTAACCTTATATAAATAAGTGAGCGGGAATTAATATCAACATGATTAATTTGTTTCCTGAATTTTGACATTCTTGAGGCGTGTTCTTAAAAAAAAAACTTATTTTCAAGGGCAAATATAAAAAGACTTTTAAGTATATCGTTCTTTAGACTAAAGGACAAAGTTCATAACTAGATAAATCATACTTACAGTCTTGTTATTCCCTTGAAATGATCGAATGTTCCTTTTCCGACATACGAAATGTTGTTGAAGTAAAGATGTCTAAGCGAAGAGGAAAACAAGAATATCTTACAAAGACAAGGAAACTACCGCTAAGGCAATGTTTACTTTTCATAAATTTTTAAAGGTGGGTTGGGCTTGTGTGGCTTCCAACGCAAGCGTTACTTTTCTTGAAACGAGGGATGGCGTGATGAGATCAGGAGGGGCGTGCAACGTTGGTTGGGAAGGTTATGTCACAGTTAATTATAGGACATGACTTTGTGCCTTTAATTCTAAATCCATTTATTACCTCTAAGCCAGTGAGGAAAATTCTCGTTTAATCAAGCGAGTAAAATGGGTCTGAATTGTTCAGACTCCAAACTGAGGGGAGACTGCGAAGAAACTCAATCTCGACTCCAGTGCTTTCTACTATTGCGCATGACTGGCCCTTTGGACCAAGCACAGTGAAACCGGGGGTCTGGGTGCGAGAATGGAAGAGGCAAATCTAATTAAGTCGCTTAGCGGCGGATTTGAACATGGGATCTTAAGACTTTCAGTCCAGCGACAAAAACTATTGGGTTCTACTGCTGCCGATCTACCGCATCTTTAGGGAATTCCCTCAAGGCCTCAATCGAGTCATCCCTTTACTTTTACAGCTGTTTCAGGTGCTTCATGACAAGAAATGCAGGGCACCCCTTGGGATGGAAGGGGGGGAGAGGAAGTACCAAGTACACTTACATATCTTTGAGATTTGAAAGGCCATAAAATGTCTTGTGATTAAGAAGAGTGAGACGATTTGCATCGAGATTTCTAGAAAAGAATAAAGTAGAAGTGTGAAATTCTTTTCTCTCTTATACTGAAAAAAAGAAAACTGCATTTTTGGTTCTGTGAGAAAAATTAGAGGACAAGTCTTGAACAAAATTCCGTTATATCCCCGTTCTGCGTTCATTTTTCTCCTATATTGTGATTTAAATTGTGATTAAATCTCTTTCCTTGCCAATCTTCGCCAAAGGAACGACCCTGAAGAGGCTGATTCGTGGTCCTGTCTGTATCCATTAGGATGGGGACATTCCTTACACTGTCACAAAATTGAGTGGATGTAAATAATGGCGGAAACCTTTCATCTGCACAATACCTTAACTTACAAGTTTTTATTTCTAATATGAAAGAACTTATCGTGGGAAGTCTGTCACACAGTAATTGTGGTCAAATCAAAGACAAAAGAAAAGCAAACAGAGACATACACGAACAAAACAATATTTAAAAACAACAACAACACCCAATAATTGAGTTGCCTTCTAAACTTACAACACGTTCAGACGTCCAAGATGGCGGAATGCTTCGTCTGCGACGTAGGAGATGGTGTTGATACCAAGATGGCTGCAGAAAAAAAAAAAAAAAGGAAACGACAACCTCAGATCAGACTGACTGTTTGCCATCTGGAAAAGTGCTTTGTCATGTTTTTACCAAAAAATAAATGTATTCTCCTCAGAAAATTAGGTTCTAAGTCAGTGCAACTTAAATTGGAGGAGTACATTAAAAACTTTTGTAAAGTCCACTGAAATATCATCTGAAACGTCTCATAATAGTTTTCCTTTCTGATTCTTTCTACACCTGACTTCAGTCCGCGAAATACTCAACTCGACTGGCAAAATATCATAATCTAATCATTTAATTGAAGGGGAATCTTACTTGTCAATCCTACGCGGCCAGCTAAGTTCTTAAAGTCGTCATTCTTCATGTAAGATCGGTTTCGTATACTTTTTTTACTCTTATAAAATTGTTTAATTCGTAAGAAGGTCACAAAGTACAATTAAAACGTCAAATGAAACAAGCAATTATTCGACTTACAGGACACTCAGATGTCTCAGATCCTCAAACATGTTGTCAGGAATAACGGAGAGGAGATTAGAGTACAGATACCTGGGAAACAAAATTCATTGCACTTCATTTGGAGGGTGTCAAAATATCACTAAGTTTTTCAAACTCTACCAAACCCTCTTTTAAGCATATTAATCACACCCTTCGAATTAGCTAAATCTCGAAAAAAATCCGGAACTGCATAGATTGTGCTTAACTTCACTCTGTGATTGGTCAAAAAAACTCGCGCCACTCTCTCAACCAATCAGATGCAAAACTAAAACCAACCACGACATGGTCGCCCGCGTTTTCCCGCGCTTTAGGCAGTTTGGTTGTAGTTACTTTGAATTTCCATTGACTCTTCTGGTTGGTCGTTGTGATAACTTTGGTTTGGTTTTATGACACTCAATCGAAAAGAGCTCTTTACTCTGGTTCAGATTCAAATACAAACTGGCAAATCCAAAACTCTTAATATCGAAAAAGTCAAACAAAATTTCTGAGAACCAAACAGTAACGTTGATTCGATTTGTCGGCGCATACTTAGGTTTGGTCCCAAATGTTTGAACATGTCGCAAAGGACGACCTTCGAAAGAGACTGACCATTCAAATTTGTTCTACCGCGGAATGTGACAGAACTTCGTGTTTGAGCGCGATGCAATACCTGAAGTTAAATTAAGCGAAGTACTTACAATAATCGTAATTTCTTGGTGGCTGAGAAAGACCATGGCTCAATTTTAGAGATTCGGTTTCGTTGTAGATAGCTATGGAAGAAAATATAATCGCGAGTTAGTGATAGCTAGTCAAATTATAGAAAGAGATTTTGCCAAAATGACCTCTTGATAAAAATTTGACGGAATTCATCATTCAACCTCGAGAATTTTCCTCTACGGTCTATCTTTCGCCTTACTCAAGTTTGAAAAGTTTCCGTTTTAAAGAGAAATTTTTTCATATCATTTAGCTGATCATTTGGTGTTCATGACTTACAGTTCCTCGAGGTTCTCAAGTCCAACAATAGTTTGCTGAAGAATTGCGGAAATCTTGTTGTCAAAAAGTGACCTACGGAAATTAAAAGAAAGTCGTGGTGTCTTAACGCAGCGATAGCTCAGTACAATTCTATATGATGGTATAAGAAAATACACCACACTATCAGCCTATCAGTGTTCTTTGGAACAATTATTTTATCGATGTCAAAAGAAAATCTTAACTTATTGACCCCTTGGAGTGACTAACATCTAAATTCTCCTTTCAATATCAATCCTGAATCAAACATTAAGGTCGCAAGAATAAAAGAAATGATCACCAAATAAAGAAGCTCTTGATTGTTAAACAAATTCTCCTTGTCAGCACCTTAGGAAATGTATAGAGAACAGTATGGAGAATATGCACATACTGATGTTAGGGTGTCAATCATTTTCTGAAACTCATCTTGGTAGCTTCGATATCTCAAATCTCGCCACAGAGCCGAAGTACTTACAGAATTTTGAGATACAGCAGTCGTGAAAAGGCACCATTTTCAATGACTGAAATCTGATTTCTAAAAAGGTATCTGCAAGATTGGAGAGAGAACAAGAAATTAGCAACAAGTTTATGTCAATTTAAATCGTAGCCACTCATACTCTTTTTTGAGATATTGGAGAAGTAGCTTTGGTGTAAAGGGTTATAAGAGAAACTTCAAATTCTTGGCAAGACTTCTTCTTGCTTTTTGAAAAACTTTCTCGCTATTAGGAGGAGACCTCCATCTTGTCAAACCCGAACGTGAGTGATTAGTAAAGTTAAGATTGTATGGCTTACAGTGAAGTAAGAGAGTAGACATCAGCAAAGAGGTACGCTCCAATCTTTGTAATCTGGTTTTGGCTTAGGGACCTAAAAAGGAATTTGGCAGTTAGAATAACAAATACTGAGTAAAAACATTTGACATTACAGGTCGACCAAGTAATCAACATTAAGAATTATTTTTTCGCATTACAAGTTTATTGAGGAACATTTCCTACTTTCTCAAGTAGCTTGCAGTTGTTGGGGGGAGGGGGGAGAGGGAGTCAGGGGTTCCCCCGTCAGCTTACCCTAGAGACCCTGCCTTAGAGGTTTCTTTCTTTCCCTGACTCCAAAAAGACCATCACATCTTCATGATGACTTTCTCAAGTAGTTTGCAGTTGCTGGGGAGAGGGGGGGAGAGGGAGTCAGGGGTTCCCCCGTCAGCTTACCCTGGAGACCCTGCCATAGAGGCTTCTTTCTTTCCCTGACTCCAAAAAGACCATCACATCTTCATGATGAAGTGAATATGGAATTAATTGAATACGCGAATGATTTTGTCCAAAATAATAGCTTCTTAGACTACTAGTTTAGCATTTAGATATCGATAAAGCACGTTCACTTAGGTTATCGCTACAAGGCCCCTCGAAAACATGGTGGTTAAGGACAAAAGTTTTGCGCCCACGGTGGCCTTTCCATTTTCAGCGGTTTAATACTACTACGCGAAGAAATTCCCGGATCACCTCACTAACTGCAAAAACTCGTTCAGTTATCATGAAACTCGCTTGTTAAAAGACACATTACGTCGATTCTTTATCATAATACTCTCGACCATGACTTTCTTTATCAATGGCTGGGTCGGTAATATACTTACAATGATCTAAGACGATGTAGACCAAGAAATGCCCCATCTTCTATAGAACCGATCAAATTTGCACTCAGATCCCTTCAACAAAAAGAGAGTAAACGATTTTTGTTCTGACAGGTTCACAAAAGCAGATTGAAAGAGGAAGTGATCCGTAATATTACCAAGATAAATACCTATCATGTTTTCATAACCAAAATTAATCTCAAATATTATTTATGAGATATCTATACTGAAAGCAATCATTCTCACAGAGGCACAGTTCCAAGGCACGTCGCAGCCTGAAATTCTCTCAGGAATTGTTTTCTCTTGTTACTTGAATTATAATCTTCACTGAATTCTAGGTAAAAAACGGTGTTGACTTAAGCATTAGCCTAAATATAGCGTCCTCGTGCGAATGCCATGTTAACTAGCTTCATAGAACGATAACAATAATATGTCACATGAATACGTAAAAAGACAACAGAAGTGGTGACATGAATGAAGGCTCAACAAGCTCACTTACAATGCATCCAGTTGATTCAGTCCATCAAACGCAGCATACTGAAGGGTAGTAAGCTTGTTCTTAGCAAGATTCCTTTGCGATGGTAAAAATTAAGGTATTTCAATCTGCTTTCACTGTAATATCAGGTTGTTCATAACAGAGTACAATGAAATTAACTCAACAAAAAATCCTCTTAAAAGCATTTAACAACGATTACGAATTCATGTTATAGTTCAGAAATATTTTAAAGCGGTATCAAAAATTCTAGAAGAGAAATTGAGTTTGGCAAACGTTCTAATTTAAAGAGACACTATCTTATTGGTTCACGTGATTATTATGCAATCAGTTATTATCTTACCAACCAAAAACAAACTTCATCAGTATGCCTTACTTACAAAGTTTGAAGTCTTGAACAATTTCTGAATGCTCCGAAGGCCAGTTCTTCGATACGATTGTTCTGCAAATACCTGGTGGGAAAAAAAAGACGGTAATACGCAGGGCGAAAAAGTTTGAGTGGATCACTCAAATCTAGGCCCGTTATTCGAGTCACAGGTCACACCGGTCCGATCATTTTCTAACTAACACCTGAGGGGTAAGCTGTTTTGTGTATCACTTTATGCGCATAATATCGAACGTTCATTCTATTACAAGAATAACGTTTTTAAAAAGTGTCGCCTTCCTTTTTCATATGAGTTACCTAATAGACAAAACCAGTGCATCCAAGAAACCTCTTATTTATGTACAATAATTTATGTACAATGATTTATGTACAATGATTTATCTACTATGATTCGTAATCTTCAGACAACTTACAAAGTTTGAAGAGAAGGAAGATATCCCAAGGAAGTTGTTGCAATCTTTTTTATTCGATTCCCTTCGAGATGCCTGCGTATAAATAAATTATAAATTAACAGGAAAATTAAATCAACTTCAAAACTTGATGATTGTGAAAAAAGTTATCGACCTTCTCTGTCCATTGTCCAGTTTTTAAGTGCGTCGCCCAATGAAAGACAAATGAGATCTTGGCGCGATCTCGCCGTGGTCGCTCGGCTGAACCTTGGCAAGAAGTTGGGGGAATCACGGAGCAACCAATGCGCGCACGAGATTGTCAAGCTAAACTTTGTTTATCACAATCATCATATGTCTAGAATGCATATATCTTGGCGCGATCTTGCCAAGAACGTTTAAGATGTTTGCAGAATCATGGCGCGATCTAACAGCGGGTGAGCGTTGCGTTACAAGATGTTTGCAAGACGTCACGCAATGCTTACCCAGAGTTGTGCGCGTTGCGTAATAACATGAGAACGAGCTTAATCACCCACAGACACTTACAAGATCCTTAGATAGATCATTCCGGAGAAGTGCCATCCTTCCAGCTTGGATATTCTGTTGTTCTGTAGTAGCCTGGTATATGTCAGAAAATAGAATATAGCTGCTTAATTTAGAAACCGTTCAGCCTTGTTCTTACGACAGTGCTAATGAACACTATTTGTTTCGTGACAGTCCCTAAATTGGATGAGGTTGTTACATGACATCTCCAAAATAGCTTCAAATAATAACGAGCCTTGTCAGCCAGAGTCCACGCACATGCCTGAGTTCTTTGTGTTATCTTTACATGGTTTGTACAAATTCTTCATAATCGTTCGCTAAGTGCTGCCTTTTTTTTTTTAAGAGTACTGGTTATGTTATAAATTTTTTAGGGGAAACATGTCTCGACTTTCAACCCGAGAGAGAGAGAGATCGCGTCTTTTGACGATACCAAACAATTGCGAAGGAGAACTACTAACAGTGTAGCATCCTACCAAAATCAGCGTGAAGCTGGCGGTTTTATTTTTATCTCGTAACAAAACAAATTGCTGCAAGTTTGTTTAATTTTTATCATACCAGAGACTTAACGGGAAATTGATACTTCGGTTCTTCAGGATATGGGTTGTTTCCTTTGATAGGGATGAATGTAGAAAGAAAGTGCTTTACTTTGGTGATATCCCTTATCCCACACAACAAATTGCCAATCGATAGCGACTGATCAACCGTCTTGATTAAAATCGTGTACTCCTTTCTCTCGATCTTTTCCAATCTAACCTCGAGATGTTTCCATTCTTGATAAACATCGATTTTACACTGCATGGTAGATGGCTTTGTATTTGAATTCCAGTCTCGACGAAATTGAGTCCGAACAATCAATAAAGTTGGAAACTTCGCGAACAAAATTGACGCTAAAGATTTTGTAATTGGATTGGCTAATGATCGATTTGCTAATTGTCTTAATTCGCAACGTCTGAACTGCTGTCATCATGTTTTGTTATTTTCCTTTGATAGCCAGAGAGAACAGCATTACAAAGGAACCTTTTGTCATGTAATAATTTATTGTTTCTAAATATACACGAATCCTTTTGTTTGTTAATAGATCTCTTCATCGATGATATTCATTGTGACTCCTTATACACGCAGCTGCACTCGTGACAACAGATTGAGTAATTAACTAATTGATCAAACTCTGTTTACCTGATTACTCAATCATGCAAACTGATTAAGGCATCCATTTTGCGAACGTGCTCTGATATTTCGCCTTTTTACGTAAACCTTTCATGACGAACACTGCAGTACAGAAACATTGACGCATTTACTTACAATGTCGTAGTGACATGTGGAAGGGGCCGAGGAAACTTCTTCAGTCTTCTCCCTGAGCAGTTCACTTTCACTCCATAGCCTTGCGTTTCGGGAAAAAATTGTTCCTCGCAGAAGCACTGCTTTGGACATGATGTTATAACCTGACTCAGGCCTATGCCACAGAAAACGACGACGACAAACACAATTATTAGGGAATTCATAGCCTCGATAATTTCCTGTCTAATCCTCGGCACAGCAATCTCGAGATAACAATGAAGATCTGTACCAATTTATCCCGTGGAAATCGGTTCTGTTTCAATTCTGCCCAGTGTAGCGTCGCCCCAAAGCTGTGACGGACTTTAGAAAACAAAGATGTCATTCATTTACTCAAATGGTTATGATTTATTTTCCAGCGTTTGCCTGCTGGGGATTCTTAACCCTTTGCTTCCCTAACACATGATAAGCGGAGATCGTGTTTCACTTATTGACAGCATGACAATGGACGAAAAACGGTTACAAGAAAAAAGCTCCTTAAAAAACAAGGGGAAAAAACAGATAAGAAAGAGATAAAGATGAAAAAAAGAATTTTCACCAGTTTTCTGAAGAAGTGCTCTCACTGCATAGAATGTACAGCTCCTAAAAACCAGTCTTTATGGATGTCAGGAAACTAAGTTATGTTCGTTTCGAGCGTTCAAATTCTTTTAAAATGTCCTGTTTAAATTAACCTAAGAGGCGTCTCTTGCGGTCAGGGTTGAAATGCGATTTTCTGCGTATACGCACAACAAACCTGGAACGAGGTATGTCTTCTTGTCAATAATTCCACTTTTCGCGTTTTCTTTTATTTCTTCTCTGTTTTTCTTGTTATTAGTTTTTTTTTACCTGACATGTAACCCAGTCTTGATCCCTATTTCCCCCCAATCATTTTCTTGATCACGTCATAGCAATCTGATCTTACTACCAAATAAATACCTTCCAAGGGCACTCCCATCTATGGGAGCCTAGTCGTCGTCATATTTTATAACACAACGGTTTCTGCATGTGTAAATGTCACGCAAAGGGCGCAGAATGATCTTAGGTACCATGTTTAGCTGGTGTATTCAAGCTGGATAAATATTAACTCCTCGCAACAGCCCATTGAAGTTTACTTTCATTCCGGTTGCTCCGGGGTGGATTACTTGGGTCACTTTTTGTTGTGTATGTGCCTTGGTCTTTCAGCACTCCTGACCTTTTACAGTCCATTCAACGGCCAATTTGTACCCCATCATAATCAATTTTGGGAAAATTTCATTTTTGGCGATGCATCTACCTTGTAGAGCCTTCTAAGTAGGTCATCTTTAAATTCATTGACACATTTCTTAAACTGAATGCAGAACACTTCACTTTCCAGGATATACCCCCAAAATCCTGAAAATGAACGACCCCATTCAAGTTAACTCTATTGAAAATACAGGCACATTCTTCTCAATCCAGACGCGAAAATGCGACCCTATCCAGCGGCATAACCCCACTAGCTTATAACTAGAAAGTCCCCGCTTCTCATAGAAAGAGAACGCTTTTATGTCAATAGTATTGAATGTTACTGCTCATGCTAAAATCGTACTGGACTTATTACCGTACATACGAATTTAATTTCCCTGCTAAGTGGTTTTATTTCGTACACTTGTCCTACCCAAGGGTTCTACTGTCATTGGATATAAAAAAATCGAATATGACATGTCTCATACATATTTGCGGGCACGTGAGTATGGCGGCCGTTATACGGCCAAAGAAGACTTCTAAATCGACTCATAAATTCTGCTCTTTTCAAAGGTTTATTCTTTAAATAAAAAAATTAAAAAAGTTTTCTTTCTTCGTGATGAGTGTTGGGCTTGCCTCAGTCTCTATGGCTCCTCCACCCTTGTTGCTCAACTGACCGTCTTGGATGAAGAAAGTCATGTCTAACTACTTGTAGCACAGCCCTGAGCACAAAGCTGACTAAAGACATCGTGACGAAGACTCGGTATTTTCAGTCTGTTCTGCATCGATTAAGTCTTACGGATATTTAGATGTTTCTTCGATGAACTGTTGGTGGAATAATGACCATGGGCTATTACCTTCCACGAAGAATTGGTGAGATTCGAACAATAATGAGCTGTTTTCATTTCGGTATACCTGGGGCGATGTAACTAACCATTTGGACGTACATGTTATTTTTTTTTTTACTCGTCTTGTTACGGCCTGGAATATGGAGCACGTAAGTTTAAGATCAAACGTGCTAATCACCAGTTCGTTTTTTTTTTTTTTTTATTCTAACCCTTCAGTACGTTCCGCTGCATTTTAGAAGGCGATTTGATGTTCAAACTGAATCTCGATCCTAACGTTTTCGACGACATTTCAACTTTTCATTCTCATTGTTCTCGATTGTGCCATCTTTCTTTGTCTTCCCAGTCAAGAAATCCATTTATTCTTAAGGAGGCAGTTAACCCTAAAATTCGAAAAAAATGTTAACTCCGGTCAAACTTGAAAGGAAGGCTTAGAAGGAAGTTCATAATATTGGCTTTTTAGTTCCGAGAGCGTTTTACAATATTTTTGAAAATCCCGCCTAAAAATTGATTTTTAATCAATGGAACTCATTAAAAACGGCCTTAGTTACCATTGTTTACACTTTGTTGATTTTGGTTGCTATGGGGCTTACAGATTTGGGTTTTTCGAGAAACGATCCAAATTTGTTCTCCCGTAATCCATAAGTCCTATACTCCGTGACTTAGTCCAAATTTTCCAGCCCAGAACCCTTTGCGCGTATTCCGGTCGATTTTCTCACCGAGTATTGCGAGCGAGTGCTGGAGTGATCATATTGTCGAGGTTGTGTAATTTTAAATTTGTCAATGGAAGTCGAGGAAGAAACCGGTAATAAGAGAAAAGGGAAGTTTAGATCGTGTCGAAGGAAGAAAAGGAAAGGTTTTCACGGGAAAAAAGCGTGGGAAGTGCGAATGGAAGCCGAGGAAAATGACAGAAATGACACCAGCGTGGAATCACACGTGGAGCCACAACCGAGCACGTCTAAGGCTCAAAGTGAGTACGATGACTTTCTAGACCGTACTGCGCCGAAAAATATGTCGGAATTGAAACTAATGAACAGTTCTTTTGAGAACTTCGATCGCCAAGAAGCAGTTACCACTCGTTCTCAAAGTAGTTCAGCAGAAATTTGCGTTCACGAGGAGGCACATGGCTTCAAGCTACAAGATGCGAAGCTACTATCAGAGTGCTTTGCTGTATCAGCTATTTGCAGCTCGTGCCGAAATTCAAAGTCAAAACTGCAGCTATTTCAAGATAGCGCTAGTAGAAATGGCCTTGCTGAATTGATGTATTTGAAATGCTCGTATTGTGGTATCATAACTCCTCTGAATACAAGTACCAGACTAGGTGGCAAGGGTGGTGGGCCACATGAAGTGAACCGAAGGTCTGTGCTATCATCTCACCAATGGGGTCGTGCTGGCCTGGCAAAGTTTTGTGCTGGAATGGAACTTCCACCTCCAGTTACCAAGAAGGCCTATAATCAGCACATGAAGCAAGTTGAAAAATTAGCTGTGAGTAATGCTGAGACATTAATGTGTGAAGCAGCAGAAAGGCTAAGACAACTAGCTTCCCATGAAGATGAAGAATGCGTGGTGGAGATTGATGGCCAATCAGTGTGCAAAGTTGCTGTTTCAATAGATGGAACATGGCAGAAGAGAGGGCACAGCTCTAAGATTGGTGTAGTGTTTGCTGTTTCAGTTATGACAGGAGAAATTATTGACTATGAGGTGAAATCCCTCATCTGCAAGGAATGCTCATCTAAGGAACACACCGATAAAACATCAGCTGCTTATCTTTCTTGGAAAGAGTCGCATGCAAGCCATTGTGAAGTGAACCATGTGGGTTCCTCTGAAGAAATGGAGTCCTCAGGAGCAGTTAGCATCTTCAGTCGTAGTATTGAGAAGAGGAAGCTGATATATTCTACCTTTGTGGGAGATGGTGATAGCAGCTGTTTTGGTAGAGTCAATTCAAAAATGATTGAACTTTACGGAGACAAATATCCAGTGGTTAAGGAAGAATGTGTTGGCCATGTGCAGAAGAGATTAGGGACTGCCCTCAGAAATTACAAGAGAAATATAAAGATGGCTGGCCTAAAGATGTCGGATGGAGGAAAGGTTGATGGAAGGGGTCGACTAACTGATAATTTTGTGGACAGAATGCAAAAATATTATGGAAGAGCCATACGTGAAAATGCAGGTGATTTACACCAAATGAAGAACAGTGTATGGGCAATCTATCATCACATGATAAAAGATGATTCATGTACCCTAGAGGAGCAGCATAAGCTATGTCCCAAAGGTGAAGGCACCTGGTGCAAATTTTGGAAGGCTCCAGAAGAATATAGAGAGGGCAACCGCCTTCCTTGTGTTTTTATTGATGAACTGAAGCCAATTTTCATTAGGCTTACTAATGATGATTTATTGAAGAGGTGTTTGCAGGGACAAACCCAGAATCGAAATGAGAGCATTAATGGACAGTTATGGTCAAGATGCCCCAAGAGCCGTTATTGTGGAAAGAGACGAGTTGTCATTGCAGTTTGTGAGACTGTTGGGGTGTTTAACACAGGAGCTGCAAGTAAAGCATCCCTTCTGGAATCCTGTGGAATCTCTCCTGGCAGGAATATGTTAAAAGCATTGAAGAAGGAGGACCAGGAAAGAATTGCCTCAGCTGCTCACAAGATCAGCTCAAAATATCGAAAGCGGCGACAGACCATTCGGTCTATGAAAAATTCAAAGGCTGACAAGTTGGCTTATCAGGCTGGAGCATTTGGCACAAGTTTCAAACCAGAGACAGATGGAAGAAAGAAAAAGAAAAATCCCCCTAAGAAAAAGAAGTCAACAGTAGCTTTGCCTGCTCCATCTTCATCAAGTGGACTTGACATTGTATTTGTTGTCCCGGATGTGGAATTTGTAGCTAAAGAAAGAACTGAGCAAAAGTAATCTATTCAAACCAGTCTGTGCCCTATTTGGTTGAGAAAACATTCACACAACAAATGTGGACATGCTAGACCACTTGTATCCATTAAGACTATGCTTAGTGTTTTGTTGGAATCATTTTAGTGCTCTATCACTATGTGTTGAACTTTGTCTTGCATTTTCTTCAATTAGCATTTCTTTACACACTGAGTACTAAAACAGGCATAGTTGGTTTGCTATTTACCTATATTATACAAAATTTCCAGGGCTTGTTCCTGGAGTGATGTTCTATGCAATGAATTATAATTTTTTGAATTTGTCGCTTTCGATCATTGTTGCTATGGAAACAAATATGCCAAGCCTTAAATGGCGAGGATTTTTAAGAAACAAAAAGTTAGTAATTCATTGCATAGAGCACTGTGTTTTGATAATTTCCAGCAATTTTTGAGTCAAATAAGTGAATATTCCTTGAGAAATACA